AGTTGTATCTGTAGCAGGAGTAGTATACATACTTAGCAGTCGTCGTCGTCGCTATGGCGTGTTCTGGGAGCAGCGGGACGAGGAAAAAGGAGTGGGAAATGTAGGATGGTACAAGTAACACAAGGACCTGGTGTGGGAGCAGCTGGGCCAGTAGTAATGGTATTCTAAAATAGGTTAAACTCGTAAGACACACAAAGAAATCCCTATACTGTAGCAGCCCTGATAGAGCCTGTTGAGCCTTAGCGTAAACCAGTAGAGCAACGCTTGTGGCAACCCTAAACCCGGAGAGCCCAATACCCAGCTATTCAGAAGTATACCTTAAATCATGATATCAATCCCCTTGTAGTTTAGCTTTATTGCTTTAGGAAAGGGTTCCTAAACCCTACATCAACTCTACTTGATAGATTTATGGGGCATTGGGCTTTCTGGGGAATGGGAAAGCCTTCAGGACCGAGTCGAAAAAGGCGGCAAGTCAGTTCCTGGATGCCGGAGGGCCGCGGCTTCTCCTCAATGTGCTAAGCAAGCAATCCGAGAGCTCGGAGGTCCGGCAATGCTTCAGGGTTGCTGTACCGCGTAGGCTCCATAGCATTTTTTTGCGGTTCGTATTTGGGATGCTATAAGGTAAACCCAAAAAGGAACTACTAGCGAGCCTATGGGTAACGGCTACTTTTCGGGGTTTAGGGTTGAAGGATCAGGGTTGCCAGGGCGTGTTGCTGTAAGGTACCAGAGAGTTGGAGCATCATGGTCCGCCTGCTCATCAGGTAAAGCATGGGGAGCCCCGGCACTAATCACTAATCGTCCTGAGTCCCCCATATTCCAGCTTTCTGTGGTTCACTACACGGGTTAAGGGTTGATACTTTAGGATTCGGTCGCGCCCTTTGGAACACTTTGGAGGGGTATTAGACGTGCAGAGGTGGTGCATCGCTGCTTTGCCGCCCTTGCTGTGGCCGCTCAATTCGTGCCGGCCTTGCTCTCAGTTTTTAGATTCTTAGATACTAGCAGCAGTAGCAGCAGTAGTAGTAGTAGTAGTAGCAGCTGCCTAAGTTTCTCTCCGGTACGGTCTGCTTTGATGGTGTCGGTGGCCATTGTCGTCTAGCCGCCGCCGCTGTGCAGTACAGGTTCGCTGGGCTCTGGTGCACCCGGAGCTGCCTCACACCTTCACCTTCCTGGACCGGCACAGTTTGGGAGACCGCATACGATGCTTGGTAGTAGGCATGCCCAAACAAGATACATCTGGCGATTAGTCGATGTTGTGTATTCTGCATGTCCGATTGCCACGGGTTATGCACGGATAAGTCGACTGCCGTAGTGGCATGGTCTCAGTGCCAGCAATGTCCTTTGTCACCGCTGACCACCGAAGCTGTTCGTCAATGGAATTGTCCAGTGCTGACAGGACCAGATTCTGCGTGTTGCAGAGGTTCATGTCAGCTCCATCGCAGACGTGCTGCCGTCCCTTGGCTGATCCCTCAAAGACTCCTTCTGGGCTTTGCAGCAATCAAAGTAGTCCAGGTGGGCCTGCCTGGCTGTTGGTGCCTTGACCGAGTGCGAGCACGAGGAGAGTCAGGAGATCATGCGGAAAGCTATCAACGAGGATCTGCTTCGGAGCACTTTGACAAAGATGCGATCTCACTACTCCTTTCGTGGGGATCTGGATTTCTGCATGCAGCTGATCAGCAGCGCTGCAAGCTGCGACCTGTCGGACGTGGCCATCTTGTCCGACGATGGCGGGTTGCTGAAGATGCCAGCGCCACGGATTGAGGCCCCGGAACCGCCCAAGAGCTTCCACGCCGAGACGGTCGTCCTTGTCCCAGAACCTGTTAAGGTGCAGGGAGACTGGCACGAGCCCTTGGACTCTCAGCCCTTCTTCGTAGATCCCGATAGCTAGCATTCTATCAATCACTTTGGCTGCCAGTGTGTGCTGTTTAAGATCGTGGAACGAGTGCTAGGACGTCTTCGGACCTTTGAGAACGCTGGGAGTCGGCGCATCCGCGGCTGACTTCGGCGCGGCAATCACCCAGGAGCAAATCGCCGTGCTGCGAGGTCATCTCACACTGCAGTCAGACTGCCGTAAGCTTCTGCCGCACAAAAAACCCTGCACTAGTTGCCGGCCTGGCAGGTGTGTCTTCTGCCCCTGTCAAGCAGACTGTCGCAGCCCAATTTCTGCGAGCAGTCCGGGACGAGTATCTCGAAGGTGGCGGCCTCAGGAGCATCCCCGGCATCTCTCGTGACTCATGAGAGATGCGAACCGTAGATTGCGCTTAGCTTCTTAATAATCTCTAGATCTCTCGAGGCAAGACGGGGGCTGTCGAGACCTTCATGACGAGAAGAGGGCCGCCAGAAGAAGGTGACGATGGAGTCCTCTATGAAGGTGATTTCTTGCTTACTGCTGATGAGCAGAGGGCGCTTGCGCCCTTCATTCAGCGAGCCTTGACTGGGGTTCGTGTTAATGGTGTGTGTGTGTGTGTCAGATGTACACACACACACACAGAGACTCTGCAGAACTAAGTAACCGCACGTGTGTGCATCCATGCATGCATGCAAGGATGGATGGAGGGATGCCTGTATGTATGCAATGTCATGCAGTAAAATGTAGCTAAATTAGTCTAATGTAATGTGATGTATGTATGTATACATAGGCGTGTAAGTATGTAGGTATGCATGTATGCATGAATGGATGCATTAATGTATGTACCCACGTATCATGCATGTAACGCACGCATTGCAATGCATTGTAGTGTTATGTGTTGTGTCACAGCATGGTGCATCAATTTGTTCTACACAACGGGTGTTGATTAGGTTGCCTTTGCCATGTTATGTTAAGACATGTTAGGTTTGTTATGGTGATGGTTCGGTGTGCAACATGGGTATGGTTGCATGGATTATGTTGTGTTATGCATGGATGAATGAATGGATGGATAAATGAATGAATGAATGAATGAACATCTGTTATATATATATATATACACATACACGTGCATGTGTGTGTGTGTGCGTGTGCGTGTACGTCTGTGATGGTTTGTTCGATTTGGCTTGATAGCGGTTCTTTGAGTGGCTGTTTGTGTATGCAAATAAATATGTATATATATATATATGTATGTATGCATGGCATGTCATCTGTATCTTTGTACCCACGGTAAGGCCATGGATTGTAACGCATTGTGATGCAATGTATTGTAAGACAGAATATTGTAACTATTGGTATTATTATACTTTTTCTGTTGTTATTATTGCATGTATTCTTACACTGCCTGTATGTAAGTACGCATCCATGTATGCGTGCATATGTATGCATGCTGTGTATTATGGTTATCTTTCTAAAGTTGGGTATGCCAAGTGCTTTATGCATGTTATGCATGCTGAATATGTTATGTATGCTTTTCATGTTTGGTATGCAACGTATGTTGCGCATGTAGGTAAGTGGTTAGGTAGGTAGGTAGGTAGGGAGTGAGGCAGGTCAATTGTACATACACCCATTGATACGCGCACATGTGTATAGAGAGAGAAGTGTATGATACCCATAATTATATACACTGATGCAATCTTTACTGTGTTTTGTGTGTGTGTAGGAAATGGTGCGATATGATATGTTTTTGTTCGGTATGAGATGTATACATACATTGGTGCTTTGCATGCAAAAGCATGTGTTATGCAGTTTCCAGCTCTGCAACAATTCTGCATACGAAGATCTACGTGCACGTGTTTTGTTTTTGTGATTGGATCTGCTTACATTTGCGTTTCTTTCTGTGCTGTCGATCTAAAGCGCGGCAACCACTGGCATTTATGCAGTGGCCGCTCAAAGTTGGAATGCATATGGAAGCAGGAGTTGTTCTGCATGTTTCTAGACATTAGATAGTGCCAATTTGGGCAAGGCAAGATGTTGTGTCAGCCCGGACAACCTTCACCAACAGTGAGATGGGTGCTCCGACTCAAAGCATGCAGTTGCCTCCCAGGGATGCAAGACTCCTCCGACAAAACCAAAGAGTTCACGGAGATCGAGCACCGCTGGAATGTCAAGGCTGGAATTTCGCTCTGGCCTCGTGTTGTTATCAAACGAGGGTTTCGTCACTGCTAATTTCGGGGCCTAAATAATTACCAGGACTATTTGGGTAATCCTCATCATAACTACAGTATACTATACCCCCAAACCCTATTCTAATTAGTAAGGCCCCCCGATATTACCTTTGTGCAGGCTCAAGAGGACGTGCCGGAGGAGACAGGCCTCGGGGGATCAGGGGATCTCGATAACCTAGGTTCGGAGTACCTATTCCTTAAAAGGGGCCATTATACGTTTAGGGTTTAGGGTTATGAAATCAAAGTCTATACTTTTTTCTCCCTGGTCACTTCAAAGTCCAGATAAGGGCACATCATCAGCTCTGGGCTCCGAGACATCGCTTGGCTGAGGCTTTTTCGCTTCCGTCTTCGGCGGTGCCGCGACATCCCCTGAGGCCGAATCAAAGGCGGAGGCTGAGCCAAACACGGTGCCGCAGGCAGAGCCCAAGGCTAAGGCAGAGCCCAAGGCCAAGGCGGAGCCCAAGGCCAAGGCGGAGCCCAAGGCCAGCATGGCCCATCCATCACCTGGGTGAGTGGCATGCTGAAGCGTGTAGATTAGACTGAGCAGGTGGCAGTTGAGAATGCCTTGAGATGAAACCGGCACCACGAGTTCTGCATTTGCAACAAATCATAGAGGTCTGGATATGCAAGGCTGCAAGGCATTCAAAGACAAAGCCGTTGCACACACTAGGGTAGCCAAGAAGTCCTGGAGGGTCCGGAAATTGCGCCTCCAGTTCTTTGTTTAGCTTCCACTCGAAGGGGTGGCTTCGCCTGAAGCTGACATGCCCTCCAGACACTTTCGAAGAAACTGTCGGATCGGCAAGCCAGCTTGTGGCTCGAGCGTAGTTTGGAAACAGCTTTTGGTGGCCCCGTTTGGGGATTCGGCACTGGTGTCTGTAAGAGCAGAAGTTGACGCTACGGGATTAGTTTTGTTTGCCGCAGCTGCCAAGGATTGCCCCAACGTCATTGTTACTGGGTGTGCAGACGGCAAGGCCAGGTGCGAATGTTGCTCCCTTGCCACCCGGACAGGAGGATGCGAATGTGTTGGCACTGGAAGTATCCAGGAATGACATGGTTCCATACATCACCAAGTTAAGTCTCGAAGAAGGAAGGGGCGCACGATATGCACAAAATGTCGTCCAGTCTTGTTCCACGGCACAGGTCGAGCATGGCATTGATATGCATTGATGCTTCCATCTCCGGCGAGCACGCACGAGTTTCAGTCTGCCGGCTTGAGCGTGTACAGTACTTGGAGACTTGCGTGAGGCAAGGCTACACGATGTGCGCTCCGGCCGCCAGCTGGCCCGCTCCTGACTTGCTCAGCAGCCCAACTCTGTGTCTTCATTCTGGAGCATCTGTGTGTTTTTGTTCCTGCCTGCCTGGCTGGCTGCCGCCTGCCTTTCTCTTTCTGTGCCTACCCGCCTGTCCGAAGGAACATCGGGGAGGAGCATCGAATCGAGACACACAAGCACAACAACCGAAGCAGCAGGAGAAGCAGGAGGCGCAGCAGCAAGCCCAGCAGGCAGAGTAGGCACAGCACGACCATCACTGAGACCATAACGGCAAGAGCATCAATAAATCAAAATCTAACATTAGTCAGAAAAAATCAGTGGGAAACACTAGCTCAAGAGCGATGACGGCGCCAACATATTAGGAAATCAACTTTTGCAGAAACGGCAAAAACAGACCAAGGAGAAACACAATTCCCGAGCTGATAAGTGTTGCCGTACATCGTCCAAATCAAGCAGCAACCACAAGCTAGCAAGAGCAATGATTGCCATCATCAGCTCAGATTAGATGGGACGGGGCGAGGAAAGCCGAACAACCGAATGCGAAATTACAGTACTCAGACTTTTGCATAGCGAACGCAGCAGGTATTTAAGTTAGTGGCACCGGATATGTGTGAATTGCACGGCGGTTGCGGGTGGCTGGGTTGTGCTACCTGAGGTGAGCACCCGACATGATGCCACAAACCGCGAAGGAATCAACTCCGTCTTGCTGACGTCGAGCCCTCAAACTCAGCGTCTTTTTGATCCATGTCCTGTCGGCTGTTCCACAGAATGCGGTTTCTGATTGCCTAGACCCCCAGAGTATGTAGAAAATTAGCATTTTATAGGTGTTGGGCCATTATTTTACCTACTTTCGGGGGGCTTAGGCAATTACATTAACAGAGACACCGACCCTAAACCATAAACCCTAAACCCTAAACCTGTTTTCTCAGATGGAAGCCAGGCTCAGGTCGAAGGCAGGTGTGAGGGGGTTTGAGGGTTTAGGGTTTAGGGCGAAGTCGAAGCCTGTCGCAAAAGGGCTTTTTCCCGGCTGCTTGCAAGAGTCCTGGATGCAAAGGGTCTAGGGCTTCAAGAGGCCTGGATGCAAAAAGGGTTTAGGGCTCCTCATGAACAAGCTTGAGGGCGGACCCGGCAGAGGCGCTGCAGACCGGATGCAAAAGGGTTTAGGGCTTCAGGGTTTTGCATCCCTCGTCAAACGAGAAGACCCTGCTGTTGAGGAGTGTTCGCTGGCACACAATCCAAGCCCTAGCTGAAAAAGGGTTTTTTCTTCTACAGCTTTTCCTGCGAAATCTTGCCTTAAAACGGGGCTGGCGAGTTTCGTGGGCGCTGGCCGGCACCTCAGTCGGTGCTGAAAAAGGGGATTAGGGTTGATGGTTTAGGGTTTGGCTTACCCCGCCGGCATACACTCCAAGTCCGTGCTCAAAAAAGGGTTTGGCTTACTGACGGTGGCATGTGCATGGGCCTCAGTCGTGATGATAGAGGTCGAGCGGATCTGGCTAGTCCTCAAGCCAAAACGGCTTGAGGGTTTAATTATAGGGTAATTAACGTCAAGCTTTACTGCTTTGAATGTCGAGTGTCTGTAGGGCCCATGGAAAATCAATGTCCTGGTGCACATTCTCTTGCTGTATGTCTCTTGTCTGTACGCAGAATTCCTCAGTGCGAGACAGAGACAGCTCCTGTATCCTCTTCGCTTGGCGCTTGGGTGGGTAGCTGTATCGCCCGATGATGAATGGCTGGTAGTAGTTGCCTCGCCTGCGTGCAGAAGCATTGCCGACACACGCTAACTATGCCGCCAGCTAGGCAGGCTTGCACCTTTGCAAGCATTGTGGTGCCATGCTACACACTAGGCGTATATCCACTGTGAAGCCCACCCACACCCATTCCCACCAAGACCTACACATCACGCATCCCCGGAAAGGCGGAGGAGCAGAGAGATGTAGCAGCAGATACTGTGAAGGCAGTGTCGACTTGGTCACCAGCAGCGGTGTAAGTAGGGTGCAGCCTAAAGGACAAGCAGGTCGGTCTATTGTCCAGTATTTCATCTAGATGTCTTCCGCGGCCTTCTACCACCCTCAGACACCGGAGAGCTGGTCATGTCGTAAGTTCGAATCTCCGATGGCCTCCTCGTCGTTGCTTGTCTTGAGATGCAGCCCCTGCTCCGCAAGAGGCCTGGGCCGACCGGCCCGGTCTTACTGACCGGGGCCTGGGACGGTCGCTGGCATGAGTGGGATCTTTGGCCCACGAGGCCCGGAGGGTTTGGGGCCTTAAGCATTACCTCTACTATTTGGGTGGTTCCTTATTCTTCATTATTGTATATTGGGCCCCAAAACCCTATTCTATTTATTAAGGCCCCCATATTAGATATGTCATGATGTGTGCGGAGCCTCGGCACCAGGGCCGTGGTTTAGGGAGCTTAGGGTTTAGGATGCTGCGTGTGTGGAAAACCTGTTTCAGAGCCAACGCCAAGGAGCCAAAGAAAAGCATTGGAGAGTTGAGCTACTATAGGGGCATTAACAATTAGAATAAGGTTTGGGGGCATATCATTCTATATTTATAATGAGGAAACCCCCCAAAACCCTATTCTAAATATTAAGGCCCCTACATTACATGCCCGGGAACTAAGAGACCCTTGACCCGCTACTCTGCAATTGGCAATGAGCCGGTTTTCGAAGTTTGTTTGCAAAGAAAGTGGCTTAGAAGTAAAGGCAAGCCATGCATAATAGACATGTTAGTCATCCTAGGTCCTAGTAGTAGTAAGAGTACTGTCGTAGTAACCAGCAGCATCATGATAGCATGCTGCACTTGATAATCTGGATGCAGAAAATATTATCTTGCTGCCGCAGCATAGCACAGCATGAGTGGATGTTACAGGCCCGCCAAGCCTGCAGAGTCCGCGACCCAGTTGCTTCGACCCAAGACCGTGAGCCTCCAACTATGTGCGATATATATATATATATAGATATAGATATGCTTTACAATGGTTTGAATATATACATATATATATATATATATATATATATATATATGTTCATATACGTACATGTATATATATACACATACATACACACATATGCATAGTTATATTATCACATTTATGTATCATACTGTGTTATATCCAAGATGTATATCTAACTATATAGATAAGTGTATGTTTGTTATTATGTCATATACAAACTGTGTTAGTATGTATATACTCATATACTGTACACATACATAGATGTCCATAATCCACGTATACATGTACTTAAACACACACATGTTTCTGTGTATGCATGTATATATATATATACACATGTATGAACTTGTGTATATGGTCTGCTATGTATATTAGCATATTTCAAGACATGTGTATATATATATATATATACATACATACATCATATTTATCTTGATCTATCGGCATAAGAATAGTATAAAATACTGTAATGCCTTTGCATGGCTGGCTCAGCCATGGAGGGGGCAAAAACTTATATTAATATCAACCATACTGATAGCTTCGTTGTTGTCAGAAATTATCAGATATAGTGTTCGTGTTAGGATCGGGATTGGCATTAGTGTTGGCGTTGTTGGTATTGGTACAGGCCAGTACGATAGAATAGCGTATACTGCACTATGTTTTGCATGGTGTGTTGTTTTTTGACGTATTATGGTATGTCATATATTGTACGGTTTAGGGGCAGGGCTTATTGATATGTCTGCGGAGGCGCACGGGTGCATTCGGAGAGGGACCACTGCTCCCCTTGAAACCCCGTAAAACGAGGCTCGGATATATAGTCTGAGGCACTGTGGGTCGATCGTGGCAACCCTTCAGCCCTAGGATGTGGAGGCTTTTTTCAAATCTCAGATTTAGCCAGACCTGCTCCGCTGCAGAATCAGGTTTCTTCGGGGAGAATCGGGCGTTGGTGTCGAACTCAGCCGCAGAAGGACTCAAACACAGCAAAGTGCAAGTGCCACTATGCAATAGTCTGGACATAGCCGCTCTCTTGTTCTAAGGACATGACAACCACGTACACGCTCTTGCTCTCAATCATGACTGCAACTACCTGGCAAAGCTCTCAGTCGATTAGCACTGCGCTTGCGATGGCTTGACTTTTTTTTGACCGTAGGAGTGCTACCTCGCTGCTTTTGGATTGATTCACGGCTTGCGTGTGACACTGAGTGATGAAACCTGGCTGTGCCGAAGCGCACGAGAGGATGATGTCGCATGCCAGTAGAGGAGGTGATCTCATGTTGCGCACAGATAGCAGAGAGGAAACTTCAACAAACCGCACCAACAAGACTACGACACCATGGAGCAAGGTCAACAACGCATGACACTATGTTATTATTTGTTGGTATTCCACCGATGACACTGAATGTCGACATGTGAGAAGGCGTGCGGCCTCAACGTACTTGCTAGCAGCGGCTTCTAGACCATGCACGGTATATCAGGTTCGCTCAAAAACATTGCCACAACAGAAGGCTTATGTCTTAGGGGGTGTGCAGAGCACTGTTTGGTTTTCGTTGCATTTAGCAGTACACATGCAAGCACGAACTGCAACTCAGAAAGCAGTCCCAGGCCTGTGCCTGCTCTACAGGGCGAGTCCTGGTGTATCGACGAAACTGCCCGCCACGGCCTTGCCAGTGCCGGGGATCATTCGATTTGGAGTTTAGTGGTTTCGGGGAGTTTGTAGGGGTCATGACGGGTTCCAACACATCGCTCTATGCTTCTGAATCCAGCTTGGGCTTGGCTGTGACACTCTTAGGATTGCAGTAGTCTTCTCATTGGTGCGATTCTTGGCACAAACTCTAGTATATTCAAACTCTAGTATATTCAAACTCCAGCTAGTGCTGCCTATATACCAAACCCCTGTGCTAACGCTTATACATCCCCGTAAAAGGGCCCTAGTTCTATCTATATATCCATAATTGATTCACTATGTTTGGTCCTTGTGGGTTCAGGGCCTTCCTTTCACCAACCAGGACTCGAGAAATTGAGCTGTTTGACGCTGACGACGTGGCTGACCTGAAAGAGGCTTGGGGTTTAGGATTCCGATGGTTGCATCGGGCCTGGGGAATGCGGTGTTGGGTACGTTAGAACTGACTAAAAAGCGTAAAATGCACATGACATGTTGTCTAAAGCCCCATTGCAGCAACCTCTTGTTGGCCAGTCTCTGAAGCTTGGAGATCACGGTGAGTTTGTCGTACAGCGTCGCCGGAGGCTGAACATTCCCTTGTCATCAAGTGACATTGCATCTGACTGCTGCTCGTGCGCTCTGAACATAGTTGAGCTTCACAACAAGGCTTGGAACTCGCAGAGGGCGCCATTATCGTTGAGCCGCAGGATCACGTTGTGGTTTGCGGGATAGTTGGTGCACGTGCCGATGGACTGCCTCGGAAGGGATGGTGGGCTAAGCACCTGCAGACCTGAAACCTAAACCCTGGCTGTGGCTCACGACCATATGGCTCGAGACTTCCAAGCTTCGTCTTGTCACGTTCTGGGTGGGTGTAAATCCAGAATTGTTCCACGAATTTGGGCCTTAATGCCTGGGTGTTCCTACAACGCCGTGACATGGTACATCGTGGTACCCATCGATAGCTACAACCCCCATGCAACTGCAAGGTATACCCCTCACTAGCTTTTTTCTTAACCCTTTTGGCCCTGGACTTTTCAAGATCCCTTACGTTCCTCTTGGAAACCCCACTCCACATAATTTTTGAGATAGACTCAGGGTCGGATAGAAGATCCGAAGATCACAGGAGCACAATCCAGCTCCCCAAACCCCAAACCCCTAAACACTTGCCTGCAATGCGGGCTTCGTCCTTGCGAGGTAGGAGGCGAAACACTCATGCTTGATGGCCATATCTCACCGAATGCCGCGAAACATCTGCCTCGCCTGTATTTTCCGAGTGTGAGCACCGATACCCGTAGCACCGAAACCAAGTGCGAGCGCGCGCGTCGAAACCAATCACAGGAGCACCTTCTACCCGAAGCTTCCTTGGAGGGCTTCAAGAAGCGCTCGGACTTGGATCGACCCTGAGTTCGGGCTCCATTTTGAGGGCTACTGCATTTAGAAGGCATTATAAGGCTATAAGGCCCAGGGGTGACTATAAGCGTTCCAGGAGTGTCTAGTGTGCTTACCGTTTGGGATTTAAGAAGATCGGAGTGCCGGCACGGGGTTTTAGATGTCGATGTTTAGACAAGGCTCTACGGGCTTAAGGTTTAGTTGAGGTTTCAGAGTGCAGGAATTAAGTTTAGGATTTCAACCGTTCGGGTTTTAGGGTCTGAGGTGATTGGCTTAGGTGTTTTGAGAGTGTGCTTTGTGAGTTCGCTACCGTACGTGAACGTGTGTCTGTGTGTGTGTGTGTGCGTGTTATATAAGTCTACGCCCCCCATTTCCATTTCTGTGCAAGTATACATGCATGCACGCCTGCATACGTGCTTGAGATGTACATACATACACGAACACATGCAAAAACCCTAAACCCTAAACTCCAAACGGTCTTCGTCCTTGCTAGGTAGGAGGCAAAAAACGGTTTGGGGTTTATAGAACCCTATACCCTAAACCCTAAGTTCGACCAGCAACCAAAGCCTGTCTTTTTGGAGTCGAGCCCTTCGAGTTAGCATGCCGAACCCAGCCGAGGCAAAGAAAAGAAACATCAATGAAAAAACTAACTCTAGCCACAAACGCGAAACATATACATGCACGTATGTGTGTGTATATATATATATATATATGCGTTAATATATGTACAAATAGCCCCTGTACATTCTAATCCTTAAATTTTAAAGAGCCCTCATCGTACCCCTTACTTGCAGGAGCTAACTCTTCTAGTATCCCGAACTGACTACTCGCAATCCCTAAGCCCCTAATCTCTTTCCTATCTTGTTGAGTCTGGCTGCGCGAGTCGAAACTCTTCCTTAAACCGCGTGGCCCCACTTCCTGAACCTCTCAACCTGAAACCCCAAGGCTTAACTTTACAACCTATGTCAGCCAACCTTCTAAAATAACCGACCAATCACCAAGAACCTCGCCTGGAATGTCCCAGAGTGAGCGCCGACACTGTAAATTGTCAGGATGCAGTCGAGTTGCCCGGACGCTTTCGCTTGCGGTTTGCCTGAGCTCCCAGCTTCCGCATGGGTTCGGGGTGCAGGCGATTGCACAAGCCCTGATGCACAGAAATGTTTCTGTTTAGAGTGAAGCCTTCAGGAAAGAGACAATGCAGTGCAGCTTTAATTAATCTTGCTAGTGAATAGTACAATTAGCACCGCCCCGTAGCCTCAGAAGCATGCCCCAAAGGCTTGATCTCATGAACGGCATAGAGCTGCCCATCAATCGCAGGCGAATCATGTTCCACCTGATGTCCTGTCGAAATCGGAGGGCTAACTGTTATAGTGTTTATGTGCACCTGAAGCGGTATATTGCTAACGTTGCGTCGCCCCTATAATTTCCCTGGGATGCTTGCGGCCAACGGCTCACAGTTCGAGGTGGGCTGCCTCACAAACGGATATCGCAAAGCCTGGCGTACCTTGGAGCACGTGCAGGGCCTGGTTGATGGAGGTTCGAGTAGTTCTAGGATATCGGGAATAGGGGCAAACTTCTGTTGAGTCATGTTTTACATGTATTGACTTGTCCTAATGGATATCAACTCGCCTGGATAGACCATGAGGATTGTTGGTGTGCCTTATCTTTGGAAACCTTCGAGCTTCCACATGTTCAGAAGTCCTTCTGCTATATTCTCATGCTGTAAAGTATATCGACCTTTCACCGTACAGCTAATGCTCACACGCCATGTCTGTGATGTCATGCTGGCATCTCGCACGCCACTTCATCATGCGTGGCATGCCACCTTCCGCATCTTGATCTTGTTTCAAGTTTGTGCCGGAATCTTGGCTGCTTCGACTGCTGTGTCTCAGTCGGGATGATTGCAGGTCGGGGACTGCCGGAGCGTTCCTTAAGTGGCAGCTCAGTCGGAAACCTATACTACTCCTATACTGCACTTGAATTTATTAAATGCTGTACTCTACTATACGATACTCAGTATGGTGAAGCACGAAGGTCACCTAAGTTGTTGGCTGTTGTCTCCCGGCGATTGCTAAGGGCGGTGCGGTCCACTGTCTCGTGTTGACACGAGAAGGCTCGCAGCAGCAGAAAAAACAGGGCCTCAATAGGGGTCGGCATAATTACGGATAGTCTCCTGCCAGTCCTTGCTAAAAACTCGAGTGATTGCAACAAAATAGTCTTGAGTCTAGTTATTTTTTCAAATTCCTATAGCCGGAAGATAGGAGTCGATTCCTGCAGTAGAGGCGTAATTACTTGCGCACACAGCAGGCAGGCTTTGGTTGGACACGAGGGGCCAGAATATAGGGGCCTTAATCCGGGCTTAGGAGTACCATACTTTAATACTTTTTGGACCTGTTACTTAAACGGGGTAACGCGCGCCTTTGTGACCATGGTGGTTTGGCACCATCCATGGTGGTGGCATTTTCAGCAAATGTTGGTAAACGTGTGGTTTTGTGCAACGGAACCATTAGAACATAATGGTCTATACTTTTTCTCCTTGGTTACTGCAAACCCCAGTAATAATTACCACTACTATTTCGGGGGTTCCTTATTGTAGTTATAGTAGAATGGGCCCCAGTCCCTATACTACCCATCTCTCATGGTTGGGCCTCCGGCTCTTTCAGAAAACACTGCTGCACGTCAGGCAGCAAAGAATACCTATTTTCGGGCTCACGCATCTTGGCTGCATGCCGTTTGGTCTGCCCAATGACAAGACGACGTCGCATGTTAGCTTCGCGAGAAGAGAGCACGCTTGGCTAGCAGCCAGAGATACCTCTAGCCCCAGTTCCTATACAGGTTGATGAAGTACAACGATTTGACGAATTTTGATACTGATGCGACTATCTATAGTACTACTAGTAGTACTAATGCTAATATTCATAAGAATAATATTGATACTAATTCTGTGGCATAACCTCCAAAACAGTAGGTGAGTGGAACCGCAGTTGCGCTTAAACCCCTCACTACCCTCGAGGTGATCGCATGGTCCGAAAATGGTGTGGATCCCAGGGAGAGTGCCAAATCTTGGCCATGAGGTTCTTAGCCTTGTGCTGGTGGTTCTGGTGATGCCATAGCAGGGACAGTATCTTGAAGATGTTAGCATTAGTTCATGCCGTTCCCACAATTGGCAACGGCTCAAGGCATTAGCTTGTGGACGAAATTCTCTTTCAACTTTACCGACGTAGCTTGGCAGCAACTTTCAACTAACCAAGCACTCCCGCTCCAAGCATCTTCCAGTCGCTGAATTTCAATCAGCGTGAACCCGAAAGAAATCCAAGATTCGTAGGTGTGACTCAGCAGATTCGAAGTGCGGAGACGAAGCACTAGGACAAGTTGTGAACTTAAGCGGCAACATGATGCAGCAACCTATGCTTCCGATGCAGCCAATGTTTCTCCGAGATGGGCGCGAAGGGCGCCTGCTTCGCGCCGGTGCCCTCGCCTATGTTTTCTCGTGCATACGGTGTCACGGTGTACCTGTCACAGGGGAATCCGCACATGCCCCCTTGGCACGCAACGTGCCGCTGCAGCTTCATGCCTTTTCGACATGGAGTGCATTCACGACAACCCCTCGGGTTGTCGTGAATGCACTCCATGCCCGGGGGTAATGCCAGGCTCGTCGAGACTTGAGGCCAGTGGGAATCTTAGTAGTGGAGTAAGTAGCCTTTATCCAGTTTTGGGTTTCTGTATATCCCTAATCTATAATCCCAAAGGTTAACCTTTGTTTGGTCTGGGATTCTGAACAAGTAAGGAATGGAAAGAACGCTGCCAAATCATCGAGTTTGCATCCATGGACGTGATCACCGGCGAAAGCTTCAGCGTGCGATGCCGACCGCAGTTCAGCTGGCAGGACGTCAGGTCCCATGCAGCGCGCCGCTTTGCGGAGGATCACGGCCACCGAGAAATCATTGAGGATGTGGGCTTGCCATTCTTCGAGGAAGTTTGGCATTCCGAGCCAATTCCTTCCCTCCAGCGTGCCGCCGGAGGCACAGGGAACGTTGTGCTCCTCGCTCACAACGGCCCAGCCTTGGACGAGATCGTACTGAAGAAGGAAATCGCCCATCGCCCGTCTTCAGCTGGACGTGTCTTGGTGCCCACCGTTGATTTGCGAGGACCCAGTGGTCGCAGTCAAGCAAAATTGCCATCATCCAGCAGTGGCTGCAGAGTATCGGGGCCGGCACATGAGCCCGACCTTGGCAGGCCTTGAATATTCGGTTCGTTTTGCAGACATACCTCTGATGCCTGCCGCCCATATCTGCGACATGATTGGCCTCCAGGTAACGGACCTTGCTAGCATGCTGCGCCTCGATTGCAGAACCCACTGTTCATTCGCGACCCCCTTCCAGCTCCCTGCATATTGGAGCACTGTGGGAGGCGGTACTTGTTGAAGCCCTTTTCGTTCTTTCCGGCACCGCCCGTGTCCGCGGCAGTGCCCGTTCTAGATGCTGCGCCGGCTGGCTCCCTTGTGCCTCCACCGCCTCCCACGCCACCACCAAAAGAGACCCTGATGCCACCACCACCCCCTCTGGTTGTGCCAGGGCACAAGTCGGTGGGCTCGAGGCGCGGAAAACCGTAGTTCGCACATTTCCCACGCCTCGAGCCCACCGACCTTTGCCCTGGCCATGCCGCCAATGGCACCGGCTGTGGTCGGGTCTGATGTTTTTGGATGTGGAGAATGACTTCATAAAAAGAGGATCCGAAGGAGAAGCAGACGAAGAAGAACAAGAAGAATCGTGATGATTTGTGGGACCACGCCGGCTTCTGGGATTACGGTGCACGTGACTGGTGGGCCTGGCCCTTCTGCACCTGGGATTCCTCCTACGATGGAAAAAACTGGCTGTATCAATCTTACGGCAAAGGAGGCTACTTGAAGGATCATGGTGGGTTATAAATAAGGTAACTATACTTGTAACTACTTATAACCCCAATTAAGGTACTTATAACCTTACTAAGTACCAGGATCCTCCAAGTACCAGCCTTTTGGAAAGGGCCGCCAGAAGGGCGGAACTGCCAAAGGCAAAGGTGGGAGTAGCAAGGCCAAAGGCGGCAAAGCCGCCTCTCCAGTGGCTGCAGCACATCTGCAAGAGCTCTCACTGGAACTTGAAGGCCTTTTTTTGCCTCTCGCATTGTTGCCAGCCATGCGAGAGGGAAAAAAGTGGCTGCAGCTCCTACTAGTCCTACTACGCAGAAGCCCTCAGAGATCGTGTGGTGGGGGCCTTCTCCCGTTAAGGCCCGTCACTGCGTTCAATAATTGGGATAGTTCCGAGGCAACTGAGCCGAAGGATCGACGGAAACGGCGGAGTTGAATGCGTAATGTACCTACCCTTGCCTAGTACGACCGAGTCTGAGTGTCGTTCCCCTTCTCTTGAAGAGTACTTCACTCCTATCGTATGGACGCTAGACACCCTTGACCTCTGAGCTTCCACGGTTTATGGTGTAGGGGGTAGACCGGCTAGACTTGAGTTCGGTAGCAAAAATTTAAGGACTAGGTGGCAATTTGGGAATCTTTTTAATTTCCCTTTTGGTTCCTAAGAGGTACCTATTCTTTTTTACTTTTCAGAGCCCCTAAACTACAACCCAGAAAAGCGGTTTGAATGTGATCTGCGGAGGTCGTTACTCGACGGGGAGCTGGAGCTCATGCTAAGCGGGCCGCAGACCTAGCTAGGTAGGGCTTTAAGGGATATTTTATATTTGCTCTTATTGGGCTTCAGAGGATCTTACCTACTAATATTTTTCAAAGGCTTTAAAAGCACCTCCTAGCTAGGATGCCCGTGCCTTTGTTTAACCCTAGGCTTCCAGGGACCTTATATTGGGCACTTAAGGGGTCCAGGGCCGTAAGTACAAGGTCCTTGCAAGCATAGGGTAACGTTTGAGGTCAGTGCCAGGTTGTACTGCAAGCTTGCGCTGCGCGCTATTCGTATAGACTCCCAGATACTCAGCGGGGAACTGGGCACGGTTCGTATGTTATACACCGCTGAGCCCTGAAGGCATTCGTCCATGGTCCGCTGCCTTGCAGAGAACGCGATCTACCTGGCAAGTGGTGCCTCACCATATATAGCTCTGTCGGGGGTTGGGTGTTTGGAACCCTACACCTCCAAGCCCTAAGCCCATCGAGACAACTTGAACCCGAAACCCTGAATGAACGGTGTTGCAGAAGCCCGATGTCAAATCCGTTTGGTAGGTGTGCGTTAATGGTAGCATATAACCCGTTTTGAACAGCCGTCGCCACCTCCACGCCGATTCAGGCGGCGATGATCGCAGCATTTGCATTTGGCGGCGAGATGCCTTTTGGCTGATGTGAAAAGATCATGGTTCTGTTGCTTTACAGAGAGGTGAGTGCAGGGTTCAACACCGCATGGCTTTGCTGCAGTTACTCTGCAGTTCAAAGCCGAAGCAACAAGTGCACTTCTGGCGCCCAGGAGATTGCAAGCAAGCGCGGACAGGACGAATCTGCTTGAGTCGTTTGATCAGTCGAAAACTGGCGTGAACCTTGCCTGGCAGCCCCCGTGGAGGCAGAGTGCAGCAGCCGCATCGTGAGCCATACAGACTTTGCTGGATTCTGAGGATCATCGCAGTGGGCATAGCCTTGGCATGTGCGCGTAGAGGCCAGCATTGTGAGGTACGTGCAGTCGCACTTTGCAGCAGCTTCCCCGAACGGCTGCTGCCAAGCACCCAGACAGCCGAGAAATTGCCAGATGATTGCTTGAAGACCTGGTCTTAACGGAGGTCTGCAAGTGATGACCAGCGAGTTATGCTGTGGAATCTCCGTACCAAAGAGAAGCTCCGCGAGTGTGGCACTTACTCCTCCTGAGATGGCTGCAGCCTGTCGTGATGCTTCAGTAACACATGCAGCTGACAATATCGGGGCCAAGGATCGGCCAGTGACTAAGCCGAGGTACCAGCACTCATGCAGTGTTGCAGCTGTGGTGCTGATGGGCCCTTTGCTGGCAACTGCCGGGGAGGAGCTGTGGCTTGACTTGGCTCGCCGCACTGTGTGGTCCTGCCTTACATGGCTGCAAGGACGGAAGACTTCGGATTTGGCAGACTGCCCCATGTCGGCATGCAACTGTCCTCGTACATTGAAGGGACCTCGTAGTACCACCATGTACTGCACATGACGAGACGGTTTGAAAAAGCCTTTGACGTAGGTACTGCGGCAAACCGAAACGATGTCGAGATCTGCTGACTGTAACGTGTAGAACTTGTTTCCCTGGTTCCCAATGCAGATGTCATGTCGTTTGTTTGCGTGATTCTGCACACCAACACCAGATCTCCTCATGGGAGGTGTTGGAGTACTGTAATTTGAAGCTTTCTCGAGAGAGTCCTTCTGGAACCGTGAACAACACCGAATCAAACACAGGTACCCTGTTTTTAAGGATGCGCACGTTGACCATAACCGTGGTTTTGGAACTTCAGTAGCAAGCGCACCACATACATGCACATGCGCGTGAACCTGAGCAGCCTAAGCAGGGAGAGCGCCTTGCAGGCGTGCGCAGAGCTTGTGCCAGCAAGTCTACAGTAGAAGCCAAAAAGTTGGAAACCCAATAGCCTCAATCGAGTAAGGTATAGGGAATCCCAGCACTATTTGGCCTTAATCCGGTTTCAACCTTTGCTGGGATTACTGTAATTTAACAAAGCCTATACTACGACTCTCTTGGACGCCTGATGTCGTACAAGCTCCTGTTTCGCCCTCTGGAGCCGTGTTTTATCAACTTTCTTCCAAGACCGTCATACCCTATGATCCTTTGTTGGGGTACCTAGTCTTATGGTTTGGGATCTGCCGAGAGCAAAGTAGATACTTTAGGAAAGGCCCTACGGGCAGTGCCGAAACCTTGAACCCTCTGATAATATGTAATATAATAGAATATATATATATATGTATTATCTTACCTAGTATATAATCTATAATATATATATATATATATACATACAATAGATTGATTGAGGAATCTGCAGAGTTGCAGCACAGCTTGAAGCCAGAGCCTCGTGGCAAAGTGCGGGTTTGGAGCTGCGGTACGGATCAAGATTTCGAATTCATGATTTGACGAAGTGAGTCCGAGGGAGAGAGAGAGAGAGAGAGAGAGAGAGAGAGAGAGAGAGAGAGAGAGAGAGAGAGAGAGAGAGAGAGAGAGAGAGAGAGAGAGAGAGACAGACAGACAGAGACAGACAGACAGACAGACAGACAGACAGACAGACAGACAGACAGACAGACAGACAGACAGACAGACAGACAGACAGACAGAGAGAGAGAGAGAGAGAGAGAGAGAGAGAGAGAGAGAGAGTCGCCATTTTGGCTCAAGTCGGCCTGCCGCCTTCCCTCTCGTGAGGGGGCGCCCGAGGGCGGCCCTTGGGGGCAGCAGAGAGTTGCCTCTGTTGCACCCTTGGGTGGACGTCCCTCCGGGCGGAGGCTGGCTTGAGTCCCACGACGACGCCATTGGGCTCCAGTGGCCCCGCTCGTTACTAAAGCCCGTGCTGCCATAGCTCCCCGCAAGTACATCTACCAGCTTGCGACCTTTGCGACCTCACCAACCTCGCCGAGGACCGCGACATAGTCGAGTTCGGTCCTGTACGGTGGCTGTGCGCCGTCCCTTATGCCGTTTGACAACCCTCGGTGTCTTCGTGATCCACGAACCTACGCGACCTCGTTGGAAATGGCTCCAAAACCGGGGAACGATGAGCCAGATGCTCAGGAGGCCCATTGCCTCAGATGTGCCCGGGGCCCATCATACCATGGCCCGCACAATCGGGGTGATCCCCGTTGCCTTTTACATGGATGCCTCAGCAACGACCCCACGGAGGTACGTGCATACCTTAAGCAAAAAGCTTTCGAGAAAGCCGTGGCGGAAGCAGTCCAAAAACAAGTTGCCTGACCTTGCCGAGAACAAGTTCTCCCACCACCTCAGCAGGGGGAAACCCCAAAGGCCGACATGGCACCAACGGTGCAAACAGAAGGTGCTCAACCTGAACACGAACGAACTCCACCACCACCTCAACAGGGGAAGAACCCCGGAGCCACAACAGCACAGAGAGCTTCGTCGAGTACCTCGTCAACGGCGACTACAAGCCGCCCCCCCTCTGCCCCCTCCCCCCCCCCTCCAAGGCGAAGAAGAAGAAGGAGAAGAAGCGGCGTCGAGCAGCCAAGAACGAGGACCTCCTGCTGGAGCCTTTTCACGACGTGTTCTAGGGGGACACTTCCCCCTCAGACAACGACCAGGCCACGACGCGAGTAACTTTGAGGCCAACCCACGTTCGCGATATGGCGAGCCCGCCGGCGGAGCTGGTCCCGCCTCAACAACCAAGGTCAGCGAGCTCTACACAAGGCGAACTAAAGGGGGTGAACCCACTACTTGCTGGAGCAGCTCGAGCAGTACCATGGGAGGAGATGCCGACGGAAGCTAAGGCAGGTGTTCAGTGGCCAAAACGACAAAGGACGGCAACAACTTCGTCACATGGGGGCAACCCCAGCCTGGAAGCCACGGACAAACATCACACGAACGACGGGAGGGCAGTCCAGGAAGCGATGCAGAGACGTGTGACCGACGACACCGCGGACGCCAACCTTCACCAGCCTCACGAAGAGCAACAGTCCGAGGGAGTTGGCCCGCTTGTACCCAGCGACGCCGACTTCTACCAGCCCAACAAGGAGCCGCAGTTCGAGGAGACAGCCTCCCTTGCGCCAGAGGACGCCGACACCTACCAGCCCAAAGAGGAGCCCGCTGTGCACCAGGACCGCAGAGGAGAACCACACAAATGCCAACAGGGAGTGCAGGGAGCGAATCTCCACCTACGCCGAGGCAGTGCTGAGGAGCCCGACAACGACGTCACCACATGGGATCTTCCTCCGGGGAACCACCAAAGCTTGCACCCCATGGTCGACGTTTTCGATGATGGCACCCACTACGGGAACAAAGGCGACTGCAGAGATGGTGGAGAAGGTTCCACAGGGGAGATCCCCAATGAGAGCCAGGATAAACGCGACGACGAGTACGACGACGAAGAGGAGGGGAAATGCCCCATATCGTCGGGGAGCGCAGCACCTCCAGAACCTTGTGGCGAACCTTCTCGACTTAATTTGCAGCAAAAACGCAGACTTCAGGAGCTTCTTCAACAGGGGGTAGTACAGCGGCGCAGCGACCAGGACACCGATGAGGAGCTCTGGAAACAGTACCGCGAAGCCCAAAAAAGAAGCTACAGGGAGTACCGCAAAGTGGAACGCCGGCATGGAAGGTGGCAATGAGGGCAATAGTGAGAGCTCTGAGTGGCCTAGTTTCATGGCTGAATGGCCAGACCATTTCTCCTGTTCTGACCGCCTCAACGGGGAAAACCCCTCAATGATTCTTGGCTGCCCTTGTTCGTCCTAGATCACGGGAATGCCCTCGTTCAGGCGCAAAAGACCTTTTCACATGAGCGCTTGCAAGGTACAGTAGACTTCACACGAAGTTACAGGGGCTACCCCCTTTTGCGATGTTTGGCTTCCTTACAGTAATTTTTCTACCGCTCTCTCCTTAGCTCTTTTGTGCCATTAGTGGCACCAATCCCGACGGGCCGCTGAGCCTCCAGAAACCGCAAACCCAGCCTCCTCTTGAGGCAAATTCGAATGGCGCTCATCTTTCAGAATGTTGGTAAGGACGACCTCTTGACCTGTTCTTTCCTGATTGTGCTTCCATAACTTGAGGCCCTCACCAACATGCTTTTCTTTCTCCACAGCCCCGGCCTACAAAACCGACCTGGCATACACAAACATGAACTTCAGGCACAGGGAGAATCCCCGCATCAGCAATCTAATGGCGAGCTGGTCTTTAGTCTTCCTACATAGCTGTATGTACATGTATGGCATCTTGATTCTACAGGCTCTGCCGATTGCAGTTGCTGAGTGCTGCGAGTTCTATTTTGCACAATCGAAAGCCGGTGGTTGATAATTGCCTTTCTTCTCCTCCGCAACAGTCGGGGGCGCACAAGCGCGCGGTGTAGGGGGTAACACCCCTGCACCATAGCCCTGGCGAAAGAAAGAAAGAAAGAGAGAGAGAGAGAGGGAGAGCGGGGCTTGTGGTTTAAGTTCACGGTTCTGGATATATGTTGATAGGGCAAAGGGTTATAATTATCGGCTGGGTTTGCGACTCCTCCTAAACAGCACTTTTAGGTGTAGGGTTGAGTTTTTAGGGCTCAAGGCTGAAAAGGTTCAGCTTTTCTGGCGGCTGCTTTGGCAGAATCTATGGTCAGTTTCTAACAGTTACTTCTTTTGTCTTCAAAAGAGAAACCCCAGGGGCCCTATACTAGGTATCGATTTGGGGTAAGTGACGATTTCACCAGTTGCTTAAATATCGAGAGAGAAGGATCAATCAATTTGGAAATCTGGCCTTTGCACGGCCCTGGAGGAGCTGGTGTACAGGTTTTCCTACAGTGCCTGCTAGGCTTGGAAGATATCATGGAGGGCATCGCAAGACTTGAGTGCTTAAAGTGCTTCGGAGTTGCTGATGATGGTCTGCATAAATTGTTTTGCACTTGTTAAAGTTTATCGCAAAATGATAGAGTCGCATATAAATTACATGCTTATGGCATTGGGAAGTTCCAATCATGCTGGAGATCGGCAGGTCCCCAAACACCCAGCACGTGCTTAGCCTCCCAGCCTAGACATACCACGGCCGAAGTCCGAAGCCATTGGTACAGCTCGTCAGCCAATCTATATAAAGCCCTTGCTGGCATTGCTACTCCTACTACTAAGAGAACTACTACTACTACTACTACTACTACTACTACTACTACTACTACTGCTACTACTACTTCTTCTGCTACTACTACTACTACTACTACCACTACTACTCCTCCTCGTCCTCTCGCTGCTGCTGCCGTTTCTGATGCTGGCACTGCCACTGCCTACTACTGCTACTGCTACTAGATGTACCGAGGCATCCCCAGCGCCTCACAAGCGTGTCGTCGATGCGGATCCTCTGAGTTTCAGGGGCCATCGGAGTGAGTTTCTTGGTGCGAAAGCTGCACTGAGGAAACCGCAACCCCGTTAACGAAAGCCCTTAGCCTTTGCATCTTTAAATAGAGGGAGATGGCCAGGCTGGCGTCAAAAAGCCGGAAAGGGCGTGGACTGGCATTTGAAGCCAGGGGAGGGGATGAAGCACCCGCCCGGCGATGCTGTTGCTGTTGCATTCTATTGTGAGCCAGGGTGTCTGCCACCCACCCACCCACCCACCCACCCACCCCAACACACCCACCCACCCACCCACCCCCACCCACCCACCCCCACCCACCCACCCCCACCCCCACACCCCCACACCCCCACCCCCACCCCCACACCCCCACACCCCCACACCCCCATACCCCCACACCCCCACACCCCCACACCCACCCACACCCACACACACACACACCCACACACCCACACACCCACACACCACACACCCACACACCCACACACCCACCACCCACACACCCACACACCCACACACACACACACACACCACACCACACCCACACACCACACCACACACCCCACACACCCACACACACACCACACACACACACACCACACACACATACACACACACACACATACACACACACACACACACACACACACACACACACACACACACACACACACAAACACACACGCGCGCACTGAGCTTTATGGCTTAGGACCAAATCCACAGACGAGACGTGTGCCTACCTAAACCGACATCAACCCTCCTACTTCCATGCGACTATACCACGACCAGCCGTGTGAAATACATGCAGCAGCCTAAACGCTAAACCGAGCTTTCAGCTGTTCTTCGTGGGGATGTCTGGGGTATCTCGCCTCTCCAATGTGTGGGGTTGCTTTGAGCCTGCCCGACTGCCAGTCCTACGTGGCACTACCTTGTGTTGATGCTGTCTTATCCGGGCTGTCGGGTGAGTGCTTTGGTTTACTGTGCTGCCGACCAAGAACCTCGTCTGGATTGTCCGAGTTGCGAGAGCGTAAACCGAGCTTTTCTCCAGAAGCTGCAGCGAGCCTCTAGTCTGCCGACCATTCAGGGCTATAGACATCTCGATGCACGCGCACCCGAACACACAAAACCGGAGAGCTAGGAGAAAGACCCGCAGGGTTGGCAAGGCAGTCGCAGTCTTCAACTATTTTTCGGTTCAAGAACATGGGCGTTGCTTATGGCTTATGCATCGAAGCAGTAATTGCTTTGCAGGGCTGACAAGCCACCATCGCGCACACGCAGGCAACTTTTGTCTACACCCGTTGTCCTCCTTCGTGCGGTTTATGCTCCTTATGGAGAGAGGCTTGCAGCAAAGCGCCATGAGGCGTGGCCATCGACCTGATGTCGGTGCGTGCAGTTTCCTGGTCGAAGTGGGTTGTCACACTGCAGAGATATGCAGGACATTCGCACAGTCGCCGCGAACGCTCCAACGGCGAAGCGGCCGCTTGTGCGCAGGGACCCAAACCACATCACCACATCTCAGGAGGTGGCTGCTCCACCAATTCCTTTGCAGGCTTGCACTCAGCCCGAGGTGTGTGCCCTTGCCGCTGCCATTGCAGTGGCCGTAGCCTCAACCAGGGTGATCGCTGGACAACGGATGCGAGATAATACAAGATCAGCTGGCATGCGTCACCCTCCTGTGAATCTGTCGTGCTTGCAACACAGATGGAGCCTTTCGGCGTTGTTCGGCTTAGTGCAAGGCCTCACAGGTGGTTTGCCACGCTCACGAAGGAGCTGAGAGCCGTGCCTTCGCAGGCAGCTGGTGTGAGTTTTTTCGGCCGTTCACATCCGGACAAGTTCATCCTCTGTTACTTAGCCCCGAACTCCAAGCGCTGTTGCACTTCCGCCTGAATCCGTGCCTGCTGCTACGAGTGTGCAAGTCTTTTTTTGAGCCCAGCAGCGCGGAGACGGTGTAGTTGTGCGGCAAAGGTGCAGAGGCAGCTCAGCCCTTACCTCACACGTACGCACACACACAGAGATGTTTTATGTGTGTGTGTATATATAGTATATATTGTATATATATATATATATATATAGATGTGGATACACGCGTTGTGATGCTTGTTATCGTTTTATCGCTGAGCTAGAGCGAGACCATGGCAAGCCCGAAGAAATCACGTCGACGTTGAGAATGGGATGGAGACTTGTAATGCGAAGTCCGGGATTCGTGGCCGGTCTTAGTGCATTGCATTACCCAAAGGCCCCAAAGTAGTTCCATTTTGGAGTTCATATATAGAATCCTATAAGGTAATCCCAAAAAGGAACTACTTTGGGGCCTCTGGGTAGGTTGATACCCGTATTGCACCCTGTGTGCATGCCGCACAGCCAGGAGCGGATAAAGTTCAGTACGAAACGCTTGATAATTACCTGTACTATTGTGGGGGGTCCTTATTATAATTATGGTAAAATAAGCCCCGAAACCCTACTCGAATAACGAGTAGGAAACCCTAAACCCCTAAACCCTAAACCGTAGAGCTCCGACCATGTTGTTTTAGCTTCCCTGCGGTGAGTGTTGCTCCGGAGGTGCTGGTGGCGGCAGAGCATCAAAGCTCACACTCGTAGGCCCAGCTTACAATATACTGTCATATGCAATTATGCTATAAGATACTATAATATAAGAGTCGGGGATCAATATGGCATGTCAGGCGGTGCCGGGGTGTGCTTTTCATTTCTTCGCATCGCCCGTCTATGTTGGGAGTGCGTCAGCTCATTGGCATTTGCTTGGAGGTCTGCGACCTGCGAGAACGATGTGTAAGGGAATTTTCGATGTTACGCGCTCAGTGGAGCAGTGCGACTATGCCCTGGTAGTCGGTGGGGCACAACCTATAGCCAAAACCCTACCTGCTGAAGGACCTGCCTTTTTAGGGACTTATATAAGGAACTCATAATAAGGAGCCCCAAAACGGTAGGTTATTCAGGGTTAAGGTAAAGGCTATGCAGGAGGAAAATAATGTAGATTCGGAAGCTTCAAGACAGTAGGTTCTGACCGAAGAACAGTTGGAACATGGTTTTTGCATCTACTGGAGGGATCCCTGGCTGTAACGGGGTTTCCGGTGGAAACAGGAAAGCTGACTGCGGTGGCATTCTCCGTGCCAGAGGTTTCCAGAAGCCCCAATATTGGTCAGGATCCCTGTGTTCATTGGTAAGAATCGCATTTCATTTGAAGGACGATCGATGTTCTCCAAACCGTTTTATGGAGGCCTGAAGCCCCTAACGAAACCCCAAACCACGAAACACCCCCCCTGAAGCACAGAACCTTCAAACCCTAAACACCTCAACCCTGAAACCCTGACTGAAACCCCAGCGAACCAAACCCTCATCGAACGTCAACAGGACCCTACTGTAGCCCCAAAAGTTACCCTAAACCCAAAGGCCCCTAAAACCCAAAGGCCCCTAAAACCCAAAGGCCTCTAAAACCCAAAGGCCCCTAATTGTAAGCCCTAAATAGCAAAAGACTGGGCTTGCTGACTGCCGAGGATCTTCAGAGCTCTCTGACGGACAAGGCCGTGCAGGCTGCTTCAGGCGCCACTGTCACGGCACCTTTGCAGAGGGCGTTGAGGGGCTTTTGGTAGTTCTGGGGTGGAGGGAGGTTACTTGGAGGCCCTTTTGACTTAGTAAGTAGGGTTAGTAAGCTGGGTTATGGGGATTATAATAGGGTTTCTAGGGGATACTAAGTAGACTTACTAAGTCAACAGGGCCTCCAAGTAGGGTTTGAAGGAAAGGGAGTTCAGGGTGCCTGGGTTTAAGGGTTAGGGTGCCGGGTTTAGGGCGTGGGAGTTTGGGGTTGCGTGCTTCAGATTTTCGAGGGGTATACCTCTCCAGTTCCTTTTCACGCCTCATTTGGATGATGACGGTGAAGTTTATCTTTGGGCAAAGAATCATGCATTATTGGAAGAAGCATAGGAAGGTATTCAGTTTTCAGTCAGTGGCGCGCGCATGCATGGCGAACGTCATAAATGCAGCTCTGCCAGATAAGCTCCCGCGCGCTGCGCGGCTCCCCGCGGGCTTAGCTCTCTCCCCCAAGAACATAGTATAGCAGGGGCCTACTAAGTACTCATACTATTTTGAGAGTTCCGTGTTATAGTTATCGTACAACGTGTAATGGCCCCCCAAACCCTATTCTGATTATTAAGGCGCCTATACTACCTCTGGATCCATGCTCATGTTGAAGATTGTATACCATAGCTGTGGGATCCCACCTGCTACTTAGTAGGGTTAGGGCCACGCGAACCAAACGATGAATGGCAGGGATGACTGCGGAAGAGAGTGAGGCATTGATGGAAAAGTGCCGATAGCTCAGCTTCCGTTGGTTACCTCCTGCTGCTGGTGGTCGACTTCAGGATGGTGGTAGTATGTGGTGGTGTGTTCTTGCTTGAAGCACTTCCCTTCTTCTTTCTTCGATGGTGGGCCCCTTGCTGTCCATCTCTGTTGGCACTCTGAGGCAAGAAGGGGAACATCAATCTGGATGACTACCTCACACTCATGAAGATGCCTGCCGCCTCAGATGTCCTCACATGGCCACGGGTTTAAGACCCATACTGTACCCTCGATCCCTGAAGCAGTTTTGGAGTCTGGAGGTCGCAGAATGTGGCAATGAACCCAAACCAACCTCGCCCGTGACCATTGATCCCTAGCCATGCGAGGGGGGGAAGAATTCCTAAAGCATATAGCAAACTCTGTCAAGCAACCCATCTTTCTGTCTATGTAATTGGTTTGTCTATCCAGCTATCGGTCTATCCATCTACTCATCTATCCATATATCTGACTTTCTTTCTATCTATCTATATATATATATATATACTTCTGTATATGCATATACATATGTGTATATATATATACACACCTATATCCACACACATTATGTAAGTGAATGCCTGGACATGATCCCGAAACCTTACAACCCAAGAACCCTGACCTCGCCCAAGCCAGTCCGAGTGGGAGTGCGCTTAGCTCTCCAAGCTGCAACCCAAAGGGTCCTATGTACTGTTATGGGGACTACTTCCCCAAATCATAATAGTAATTCCTAATATAGAAAACCTACATTCTACCATATCGGTACTTTGGACCCTTTGAGCAAGGTTCAGCAAGTTGGGTGAGGTGCGCGATGCCGTCAGGAACCTGAGTCTCCCAAAGCCTGGAATATGGGAGTTTCCGAAAATCAGGGGTACCTTATTATTGTAGGGTCCTTATAATAAGGATCCTACTATTTAGGATACCATATTAGGGCCCCCTATTTTCGGAAACTCCCATGTGAGTTTGGGATGTCAGCGCAGTTGCAGACACACGCACACATACACGCGGGAAATCCGCCCAGTCCTGGTTAAGCATGTCCAAGACCCCCGAGTTAACTGGGCGCCCAGCGACTACACGATTTCTAACATATACAACAAAGTACATATACATATATATATATATATATATATAGATAGATAGATAGATGAGCAGGTACATGAGACATATTTGCATGTGTGTGTGTGATGCAGTTGTCATGCATGCAGTTTCTTCACGCTCAGTAAGCATGTGTTCCGCCAGTTTGCCGAGTGTTGCTTCTGGTTTATGTATCTAGTACTTGGCCGATCCTTCCTCCTGGACTGCGCTGGGGTTTAGAGGTGTTGATAAGGACCCTCAGGGGGGAGGGGGGTAGGGGACTATACTTCCTTAAATGGGCTTCCCAGCTCCCGAGCTTAAGAACGGTGCATGGCTTTGCCATTCCGCTGTGGCTCGGATTCAAGTTAGATAAGGATGTAGTTCAGATCTGCAGAACCATGTATACTTAAGGGCAGGTTGTATGTCCTTGTGTGTTATCCTGCTTCTGCGTTCAGAGATTTCAAGTACATCGATACACGTGTTGCGCTCTCTTTGTCTCTGTCTCTGCTTTGTTTTTCGTCGCACGAGGTCGCGCCTTTGGCCAACATGTGCCCAACTTAGTCCCGCTCTGGAATAGCAGCGGGTTTGTCGCATCCTAGAATGTACCCGGCTGCGCAGACTCCAGCTTGCTTCGCCCGTGAGGGGTCGGAAAAGTTTATAATCATATCCCCTTACCATGCTCCAAAGCCCCACTCTAATCAATTATGAAGGCCCCTACATTTTTCTGCTGGTCTCTTCGTAGGACACGGCCTTTCCATGCACAAGGTGAGCGGCAGGAAGGGCTGAGCAGGTCGGGCAAAGCGGCAATAGTATGTCCGTAGGATGTTCTAGTAAGCCACCCCGAAATAACAGTATACTTCTGATACGGCAGAGAGAGCGAGAGAGAGACGGGGGTGCGCCCTCAAGGCTGGTCAAAGAAAGAGAGAGAGAGAGATAGTCCGGTTGTAGTATATTACATCCCAAAAACTCGTGCAAACTGTGACGGCCCCTGTGCTAAACCCTTATAGTCACCCTTACAGACCCCTTTTTAAGGGGAGCCTTATTCTACTTATCTGCGCTCTTGTAAAGGGATTCCGCTTAAGCTACTGATACCATATTACGGAATCCATACTAGTTTCTGTAGATCCCTATTATGGTAACTTGAACTAAGTTCCTAACAAGAACCCAGTTGGAGGATCATGGGACTTAGTAAGCAGGGCTATAAGGGCCTTAATTGGGGTTATCAGATTATAAGTATAGTTGCCTTATTTATAACCCCACTTACTAAGTCCCATGATCCTCTAACTATACCCTAAGCCCTAAACCGTACAGATCCCCTTGAGGAAGCCCTATAGATCCCTTTAAGCAGTTACGGTTGATGATATGAATCCTGCTTTACCCATCGTAAAGAATATAAAATGATTCCCATAGTTTAAGGCCAGTAAGGTAATGCAGGATTTCTATTATCAACCGTTAGTAAGGCCCGTCTGCTGCGGACCTCCGCAAGCTGAGGCTGAAGAACCAGGCCGGGGCAGACGAAGACATCGAGAACGCGAAGTCGCAGTTTGGT